GTGCGTCGACCTCCCGGTCGGCTTCGAATGCGGCTAAAACTTTTGCGAGATCTCGCAAAAGTCCGTCTTAATTTTTTTTTTCTCCCATGTCCCCTGCGGGGCTCCATAAATATTAGATGCCAAAAGATGACAATCATCGTTTTAATTCCACAGAACTCTTAATTTGAAGTCTGGAAGTTTCACATTTTAATGACCATATCAATGAGTTTGTTGGGTGTTCACCTTCAGTCACTGGTTAGGTTTAGAGATCAAAGAAAGCTTGATGTGTAAAGAAAGAGTTTCAGGCTAAGATATAGATGGATGCCAAAGGAAATGAGGATTACTTAGTGAGTTTATATGTGACACCAATGGTTTCTTTAGGAGTTAGGAGGGACACAATGCCAAAGAACACCTTTCAGGTTCCAGCTACTTTAACGAACCGGCACTGTGGGAGGAAAGTCTATAATGACCCTCTGTATGTACTGTTCAGTCAGCTCAGCTGCTATAAAGAACCTTACAGTGTGTGTCAATATAAGTCTTGACACTTTCACAAGAAAAACATGTTTGGTTTGAGTTTTTACAGACTGTGCATCGATTTTGCTTTCCTGCCTTGTTCAAACATCATAACATGCTAAATGGGACTTCAATGATTTAGCAGCGTGGAGAACTATGGGGGCCTACAGGAACAAAGGCGTCTTCAATACACCCTCAGAAACCCACACACAGCAAGTAGAAATATCTTTGGAGATCCTTGTGGATTGCATGAATACCGCCACTCAAACCACTATTGAACTTGAAGCACTCAACACAATCCCGATAGCTGACAAGTAGGGTGCAGTTTCAAAGGTTGTGTGGAACCATAATCCGTCTGGAAAATGTATGTATAACATTCAACCTTTGGTTTCCGGCTTTTGAGTCCAAGTCAAGACCTCACATGTGAGACTTTAGCTCCATTAGCTCACAGCTGATCCAGATAGTGTTGACTGCAAGTAGGAGATAGTTAGGATGTGTAACGGGAGGTTTTGGAAAGTTTATCCTGAACATAGCATAAAGAAATCA